CTTTATCTAGGCTTTGTGTAATTCATATATTATACTATGTTCTACAACCTTCTAATACAAGTTGATGAGACCAAGATTACAGGTGCTGACTTGATTGATAGGTCATACAATTTTACTATAATGCATTTTCACAAATTCAAATTTCATCACCAGTGGGATTTGAACTCTTGTCCTGCCACTTGAGAGTGCAACAACTGACCAACTACACTAAGTCACCACATCTTTTTGACTATATTTTTTATGCAACTTACATTTAATTAATATTAATAATTCAAATAAAACATATTGAATTAAATTATATCTTTAATTTTTATCAATATCAAATTTATATTGCTTTTAAAAAATGAATAAATTTTATACAATATATCAAAAGGACTCAAAAAGTAGTTGAAGATAATGATTCTAATAATTTTTTGTCAAATCTGAATTTGGATTCTTCAGTTTAAAAAACTACACAAACAAAAAAAAACAATGAACTGACTGAAATGAAGAATAGATTAAATCATATTCATGGTTAGAACGTAAGATTGTAGATAAAAAGGTACTTTTATTTTGTTGTTGGTGTGTTGCTATTAAGGCTGAAAATTCATTTGCAAAAGAAACTAATTCTTTTTGTAAATATTCACTTGATTGGTATATTAAAATTAATGAATATAAATTAGCAATTTTAGCATCTAGTAAAAATCAGCTATTAGCACTTCAAGGATTTATTAAAAGTTTAAATGAATGAAAGCTTCAAATTATTGAACTTATGCGCAATGTAATCATATCTCTAAGAATCATCTTGCATTATATTTATTTTTAGATCTATTTAGTTTAATTAACTTGTAGTTAGAAAATCAAACAGAACTTAAATATAATAAGGAACCAAGTACAATTTTATTACCAAATTCAGAAACATTAATTAGTAATTCAAATTGCAATACCTATGCAATGTATGAAAACTATATTTCAGCCAAATTATTTCTTGAAGCTATTAGCTTTATTATTGAGCAATCAGTAATTGAAAAAACAAATTTATTTGGAATACTAAGAGATGTCTACTAGTCCTTCTCAAACCATCTGGATTAGAAGTTTAAAGCATCAATGGTTTGCATCAAAGTACTGTTGATAGTCTGTAAAGTGGATGCTGGGGTTTGGTGAACTTTGCAAGGGCAAGGAGTAGGTAATAGTAATAGAGATAAAAAGCCACAAGTATTTAGCTACGACCTAAGCATAAATTACCAAAAATCTAGATAATATATATGTAAAACATGGATCACTCTGATAGGTTTACTACAAGAATAAAGAACTCCTCTATATGGTAGTGTGTGTCTGCTTTAAAGTCATAAGGAGCTTTCACAGCAATTCCTCTTCAGAAAAATATTTGATAGTGCTAAGTTAATTAGGGTAGTAATACTTTCATTAATGTAACAAAGTTAAAAGTACTCACATAGTAGTTATATTGGCATTCAATCCGTAAGTTAATAAAATGTGCCAAATCCCTAAATAGTCACCTTAATATTAAAAAAAATATATATATAGTGCATATCAAAGTTTATTATATATATTAATTTAAAATTTTAATGTGCGCATTCCACTCAGAATCTTAAAACCTATAAGCACTTTATGCATATATTGTTGATCTTTAAAGTGCAGAAAATTTTTTAATATGCATTCCACCTCTTCCACGCATTAATTTTCAATATTAATTAAAATGTAGACTTTCTATTAGTATTATACAAATCTGAATTTGCTTGAACAAATTCGGGTTCAACTCCAAACCTGATCCAAATGACTCTTTAGAAGCACTACTTTAAACTACTCTATTTTGAACATAAAAAAATTTAATTGCATATCTTTGCAAATCTAAAAAAAATTAAGGTCCAATTCAGATTAATCTTTATTCATATTAAGGATGAGATTGGTCAGTTATTACTAGCTAGCTGTGACTAAATAACCAGTTATAGTGGATTAATTATTGCTTCATCAAATATCTAAATAATTGACAATCCAATTATATATTGGTTTAATAATTTCATCAGTACTGATAAAATTGGTGGAATTGGTGCTGAACTGGTGAAATTGTTAAAATTAAATTCATTAGTATCTCTAGTTGTGATCTAAGAATTGAGATTTCTATATTATTTGGGATAATATTAAGAAAGCAGAAGTCCAAGGTATGTTGAATAAAAGTAGCAAGTTAACCTAATACAGTGTGGGAATCCTTAAATTAGCATGTTATATTATATGCGACCAAATTTTGTCTTAAATATAAATCAGACCAAAGTTGGGTCAGAGCCAATCAAATTGCAGAAAAGTAAAAGATAAAAAAAAAAAAAAAAAAAAAAAAAAAAAAAACAAAAACCTGCAACAAAATAAAACTATACTATTCTATAAATATTTTTATTTTGTAATCATTTTGTAATTAAATTACAATCGACTATATGTAATATTAATATATAGTTTTATTGTGGCAGTGAAATTGGGTTAATAAAATTGAAGTTAACACGATAAAGTAGATCTGTGAATCCAAATTTCTTAGTTGAAAGCATTATAATGCTAAAGATTTAAATTTTGATTAAAGGCACACACAATTATTATTTTTGATTTTCCTTATTTATTTTTGTAAATCAACTCTATACAATATGAGTACTGCCAAGAGAATCAATAATTGATTAAAAACAGAGGTACCTTTTTCCCTTAGCAGCACTCATAATGTTTAAAAAAATAACTTTATAATCATAAAAAACTGAAAAATCATTATTTAAAGGAATTCTTGTAATAATCAACAAATTTCATGCTTTGCTTCAAAAAATCTTAATTACATTGTAATAAAAATGTAAAACTCATATTTGATCATATTTAGAGGTTTGGGTTAAACAAAGAATGATTTGATTTTATTATTCTTTAATAAACTGATTGTTAATATTATAAAAACTGTTAACAATTATAAGTTCGATTCAAATTATTTAGTACCCTCTTGTATTATAACAATTTAAGGTTAATACAACTTGATTTTGATGAACAATACAAATATTGTAAATACTAATTTTACCTATCCTTTTTTTTTTAGCTAAATATGCTTATTAAAACTCAAAACTATTTGATAATAAATGTGGTGGGTTAAAATAAAATCAAATTAAAATGAAATTTTGTATAAGTGAATTTTAGGAAACATCAAATTTTATTTTAATTTGATTTCATTATAATCTGTGACAATAAATAAATGTCTTATTTTTATCCTATTTAACACCAATTCCAATTGATATTTAATTGACACTTATATAAGATAAATGTAACAATTTAATTTATTAAAGGGCAAAAAATAAAATATAACAAAACTCATTATAAAAATTTTTGCCTACTTGTTAATTGTTTGTTATATCAATTTCATTTAAAACTGTATTCTGAATACGACGGTGAGATTGATATTTTTTCATAGCATATTCTGCAGTTTTTTCTGTTAAACCTTTGCGATATATATCCATATATCTAAAAGCCTTCTAAGCATATCATCTAATCTCAGTAAGAGATACTGATTCAAGGGCTTTTGGTACTGTTCTTTTTAAACCTTCCCAGATATAGTCACAGTGGTTTCATGCATATCGCTTTGCTGAACCCCAGAAGTTTTCAAGATAATTTAATTCACAATGAAATTTTGGATAAAAAATAAATTTATGGCCCATGGCAATAATTGCCTTCTCAAGTTTTTCACATTGTGCTATAAAATCTGGTTGATTCACTATTGTAGTTCTAGCATAGCAATTAGTTCTTTCTTGCTTACATTCTCCTTTGCATACCAACTTTATTCCATTACACCACAATCCTCTTTTATGCAAAACTTCCTTTAAACCTTTTGGTTTACTATGCAATTTAAGATCTTTATAATCTTCAGAAAAACACATATCTTGATGAATATTATTTTCATTTGTGATGCTTCTAAATATTTGAAAATATTAAATATATAAAAAATTTAAAGTATTCTTCAACATATACGAGAAAAAAATTAAAAAAAAACATATATAGGTCAAAACACAGTCTATATATATATAAATATACAAACCTCATTTTGGGCTGTTTGCTACCAGGAGATAAATTCATATTTTTTGCCAAAAGAGCATCTTCAGCATATACACAATGACTAGTTGCATTATCAAATACAAAAAGAGCTTTTGCATCTAGAAACTGAGCTTCAGAGATTGGGATTGCATAGTTAATTACCTAGTCTATAAGATCATTTGAGTCTTACCACTTATCACCATCTTTACCTGGATAAGTTATAATATATGCTTCTGGTGTGAGATTAGGAAAAGCAATCTAAACAAAAATTTAATTAGGGTTCTTTAATTATAAAAAAAAGTAAATTGAAATAAAGTTTAAAATTCTATATATACCTTGTTTTCTTTATATAATGTTAAACGTCTACCAACATCAGTGAGAAATTCACTTATATGAACAGACCTTCCTTAGTCTTTTTTGTGAAGTGGCTGCTTTCCTTTTGGTATCTATAATCAATACCTTCCATCATATACTGAGAAAATACACTTATTGTGTATTACCAAAATTATAATATTGTGAGTAGCTGGTCTAATTTCCTCTTCTTTATTTTTACCAGAAAAAATTATCATATACATTTCATATTCCTTCATTTTTTCTAAAAATTTTTCACAATAAGCTACTACATCTGCATGCTCGTGTCCATCCATATACATCCCTTTTCTAACCTCTGAATATTTGAACCCAAATGTTTTTAGCCACTTTTTAGCTGTTCTTACACATATCATTGGTGATAGATTGAAACAAAGGCCTGAAAGTATTTTCTTATTTACATGTTTTGCCAATTCATTTGCATTAACACACCACTTGTTTGATCAGAGAAAGAATTTAATCTGCATCAAAATATCATTGTTTCATAAGAAACTTCAGGTTTTGGGATGTTGGCTCTGTCTTAAAATCAGAATTGTTCCATTTAAAATATAATTTATTGTTCATAAATATATACATCGGGCATGATAAGCATCTTTTCCAACTGCTTCTGCTACAATAATGCTTGCTTCAACTCTTTGTCGGTTATGTTTTACAAGACATAAATAAGACAGCATTGTGTAGAGATGAGCTTTTTCAACCTCACTATATTTATTACTTTTAATTTCTTCTTTCAATTGTTTAATTGTATTGTTCAAGATTTCAGAAGACATTCTATTATGGTCTTTTATAGCCTCAACCTCAAAATCATTTTTAGAGCCAATATCTGAACCAAACGGTTCATCTTTCATATCCACACCATCACTTATATGTATATTTACTCTCTATTCAAAAAAAAATAATTCTATAAATTAAAACACAATCCACTAATCATATTATCAATAAATGACAAAAAAATAGCTACCGGTAACCAAAATAACTTTAACTTAGGTGTTTCAACTGCAGCTTGTCATGATAATTGTTTTCATCACCTTCTTGTTCTTTCTAAATTTCCAATATACACAAGTAGCCAATTATTAGTTACTTCTGGAACTGCTTGCAACAGTCTTATAATTACACTATTCGCTTTTACATTTTCTAAAACACTTATTTCTACATTGCTACCCTCAACGTCACTAGATTTATCACTGCTACTGTAGGTTCTTGAAGCTTTTATCTGATGCTGGTTTTTCATTTTTTTTTGTATGCTGAACTTCTGTAAATGAACCTTTCTTTTAGATAATCATATCATTTTTAGTAATTATAAGTGAAGCCAATTAGATCCTAAATACCAACTTTCATATAAGTACTTTTCTTATCTTTGATTAAATTGATTATTTTGTTTATATTTTATTTACCTTTTTTTTCTTTTCTTTTTTTTTTTATTGTATATTCTTCTGATACTAAACCATGAAACAAGATATACCCTTCGCAATTTTGGAATTTAAAAAAAAGACCTCCAACTCATCTTCATAGATTTATCACACTTTTATACAATGTTTTTATTACATTACTTTTACGCAAACTATTTACGATACGCGGAGGACCAGAATAATGACGGTCAGACCAAACGTACATAGCAGACTATAGAATCCTTCGCAGCTGTGAGAACTGAGCTTAAAACGGCGAGTGCTCCTACAGAAGAAAGTTTATCCAAATCATCATCAACACCATTAGACTCCTATGATTTGGACATATACTATAATCGATATCTTAATCACTATCAACTACCTTTACTAAGAGAACCACAAACTATTAGTTCTAATAGTTTGTGTAGGTGAAAATATATTATTTAAGTTTGTAG